GGTGGGACCTGACCCTCCGTCCCTCATCCCTGAAACAAGGAGGCTGGGCCTCGATGGTCTCCCGGGGGCGGACGAAGCCTGGGAGGGTAAGGGGTGCTGGCTGCCTTAGAAGGAGGGACAGACATGGCCAGGGAGAGGCAGAGGGGCCTCCTTACTCACCACTTGGCCCGGGGAGCTGGCTGGCTTCCGGCTTCTGCTCGCGTTCAGCAAATGTGCAGCCGAGGGCCTGGGGCAGAGCGGACGCTAATTAGGTGTCTGTGGAGTGGAAGAATGGTTCTGGTCCTCAGCGACACTTTCGACAGGCAGTCACTTGCGACACTGCTCTCTCTCTCTCTCTCTCTCTCTCTCTCTCTCGCTCCAAGGATCGGCCCCACCCATCTCCTTCCGCAGTAATAGCTCTCCTGGGCCTGTTCTGACTCTGCAGTTTCCCTCCGTGGGGAACCGACACTTTTCTTCTGGATGCTTTAAAAAGTAACCTGAAGGCTCCGTCCGCACCATGCCTGCCATTTCTCTCCACTTCTTACCCTCGCTCCCCTAGCTTTGGAAGTGATCCCAGAGCTTTCTGGCTCCGCAGTTGGGATGGGGACCCCGGCCTGGGGAGGGGGGCTGGGTGGGGAGCTGGGACTTCAGATTACCAAAGTCCGTGGAGAGGCTGCTGCCTCCGGCGCCTCTCCTTGAGACCCGTTTTCTGGGCGATTCAGGGGGAGCCTCCCATGAGCAGAAGCCCTTTCGGGCTTTGCTGGTTGCCTCGAGTCAAGGCAAGGCTGCAGGCAGCTTGGTTGTAGGAGCCGCAGTATGCCTGGGGGTTAATGACAATATTAGGATCAGGACAGGAAGGTGCCTGCTTGCTAAGAAGTTGGGTCTTGCTTTTCTGCTGTTTGTTTGGTTCCAAGAAAACCTCCCCCAGTGGGACGCTTTCCCGTGGGGTCAAGCGCAGCACCACATGAGGGGCAGACCTGAGCGTGTGGCCACGGCCACGGCTGGACCGGCCCCGCGCAGGAGGGCATGGGTTAAGTTGCGCGGCCCATCCAGAAGGAAGGGCTGGTGGCCAGGCCACGCCGGCCGCCCGGGCCTCCGCTTGACAGCGCCGGTCACTTCTCCCCTGTGCACTGGCGGGGAGGGTGGAATAAGCAGGCTTTTCTCTTCTTTCAGATCTGAGGAATGTGTGAGCAGCCAGCGTCCGACCAGAAGGGAGGGGCCGCCAGCTGTGCCCCCGGCCGTCCCACCCACCTGCCCCGGCCACAGCCCCGCTCGCTGTCGGTCTGTCAACAACTCAGACTGAGCCGCTCTGTCCGCGGGGCTCTGCGGGCGCCCCGGGAGACAGGGCAGGCGACGTGGGCAGCCGCTCCGGGGCGGGGCGGAGGGCTGGCTCCAGGGCGGCTGTTACTTTCCAGTGGGGAGCCGGGCCAGGCTGGTGGGGAAGCACCAGAGCTCCGGGGACGGTCCGGGCAGCCGGGCCGCTCTCGGGCGAGGCCCTCACGGTGCTCTCTCGCACACACGCACGGACACACATGCTCATGGGCACACGTGTCCACACACACACGTGCACGCACCACCCCCACATGCGCACAAGCACACACACACACGCGTGGACACATGCACCGTGCAGCTCTGCTCTGCAGCAGGCAAACGTAAATGTCAAACAACACCACACCCTGTTTATAGAAACGACAAAGCGAGCAGAAATTAAGGGAATCAACGTCAACGTGGAACCTCAGCTTCTTGTCTCTGCTCTCTCACCACGAACTTCATCTTTTGCCTTTGACGCGTCTCCCTCTGCTTCACGGAGAGAGGCTGCGTCTTCCTCTCACTCTTACTTTGCCTCCGAATGCTGCCCTGAGTCTCTTATTCTTTTCTGTTATTAAATGTATCGGGGTGACGTCGGTTAGTAGAATTACGTAGGTTTCAAGCGCACACACTTCTACATCATCCGTATCTTGCATTGTGCATGCACGGTCCAAAGTCCCCTTCTGTCATTGAAGGGGGTATTTAACCCCCTTCACCCTTTCCTGCCCCACCCCCACCCCTCAGCCCCCCGAGCCTCACTTTCGGTGAGGAGCAGAACGGGGGGCTCTCGCTCACCTCCTCTGGACGTGGTGCCATCTTGCGGCCTCGGGAACCAGGCTCCTTGGGCTCCGAGTTTCAACCCTGATGCTTCTTGGCTGTGTGGTTCGGGGTGATCACCTAACTCTTTGTGCCTCAGTTTCTGTGTCTATAAAATGGGGATGAAAATAGCACTGAGCCCCGGGCCTGGCGCATAGTGAGTATCTGATCGATACTGACGGTTACTCGTTTCCTCCTGGCTTATCCTGAGAGGTGAGGCTGCCGTGGGCTTTTCCCTCTTGCACTCAACGACCCAAGTGTTTGTGCTTTGCGGGGGTAGACTGTCCTTCTTTTCCACTGAGCGGGAGGAGAAGGAGCGAGCCAGGTGAGGCCCAGAACTCACGCTTCCTTCCTCCGTCCACCTGCCTGCCTCTGTCTTCAGCCTCTGCAGAGCTACACTTGGGATCACTCCTCATTTGCCTCACAGGGTTCCTTAGCAACCCTCGCTAATGTAGGATTAGGCACAAAAATACTTTTGGTTAGAATTCCGGACATCTTAATTTATTAAAAGCCCTCACGTTAAACATAATTACTTTGATTTCCCCCTTATTTCAGAAGCAGTGCAAATTTATTTTAAAATACTTAGAACATGGGCGAATTGAAGCCCTCAGAGGCTGATGGTTGCAGAAATTAAAAAGGAGACGAGAATTTCAGTTTACATACATTTTCTGCACAGGATTAGGAGAGGGCAATGAATAGAATACTTGCTATCATAAAGATTGTGTTACAGGAAAACTCTGCAAGAAAAAGCCAATGAGATTTCAAGGTAGAAGAAGGAGAAAGGTTAACTTTCCTGACTTACAGAGAAGAGTTTGTTCATGCATTTTCAAAAATAGCTGATGGCGGGTATCAAATTACCATGGTTTTTAGATTCCATGGGAAACATTGAAAAGAGTGATGGAACAGTTTTATATATATCTAAGTATATATATACACACACACATTATATATAATGTCAACATTTACAGTGCAGTGGGAATTGCATCTTTGGTACCATTTACACTTATGGTAACATTTTGGATGTCAACCAAAGGGGGCAAGGGCCTCCCCCGGCATCAGAATTTTCTCAGGGGCAACATGCGCCCTAGGGCACCTCACAGAGGTGATTGAAGCGTGTTTGTGCTGGAGGAGGGACTTAGCTAAACTTTGCAAACCGTTAGGAAGGGTAAAATGAAAGTGACCACACATGCTTGAAAGGAGAAAGCTCTAACCCATAGGATTCTTGATGGGCAGCCTGGCTGTGCCCCTCTCCACGGATATGAGCACCCTGGGGTCTGTGTGCGTTCTGTGTTCCCAGCATGCAGTTCTTCCACCCTCGGCACCAACCAGGTGTCCTACACTTCAGTTCACTTCTGACACTCACTGCCCGGAGTTAGCGTGGACCCCACAGGGGAGGGCTTGGTCTCACACGACGGCCAGAGACCAGAGAGACCAGTCGTGGATGGGGTCCCCAAGGTACCTACGTTCTGCCTGGCCAACTACAAGTTTGGGGGTTCCCATGACCCCACCCTTCTCAGGTTTGATAATTCACTGGAATGACTCATGAAACTCAGGATGTGCTGTGTGGACAACTACAGTTTTATTTATTGCAGAGGCGATGGCGCAGGACCAGCCAGATGGAGGACATGCACAGGTCACGGCTGGGGGCGGAGCAGAGCTTCCTTGCCCCCTCTGGGTGCCACCCTCCCGGCACCCCCGTGTGTTCACCAGCCTGAAAACTGCCCCAGCCTCGGGTTTCGGAGTTTCTGTCAAAATAGGCGTGGTTCATGAAATTATGGGCCGTCAGTGGCTGAGCTCCATCTCTGGCCCCTCTCCCCTCTCCAGAGGTCGGGGCTGTGCAGGTCGGGACGGGGGATTTCTTTGGCATCTGGCTCCCATCCTGAACCCACCTAGGGGCTTGCCAAGGGTCCCCTCATTAGCATAAACTCAGGTATGAATAGTGACATCCCCGTCACTCAGATATGTCAAGGGTGTTAGGATCTCCGTGCCATCAACGCAGGACAAAGACCAAACATCTATGTTTTAGGTGCCGCACTGAGATGCTAAGGAGTCGTTCATCGCCCTCCGTCCGGGAAGCCGGAGGGCTGGCCTCGGGGGGCGGGGCACGTGTGCCTGCAGCTTTGTCAAGTCTCAGAGGAGCAGCACCTGGGAAGGGGACCTAGGGCTCTCGGCAGAGATTTCAGGCGCGTGCGCGACCCACCAGCCCACCAGCTTCACAGAATGCTGGGTGCTAGGCCGGGAGCCTGGAGCTGGAAGCTGGAGGGGAGGCGGGAAGTCCAGCACTGAATTAAACACAGTTCCTGCCCCTTTGGAGCCAGCGGTCCGTGATGAGATACACAAACTCTTGCTCTCTCCAAGCTTGTCCTGGAGAGAGAGCCCCCCCTCCCTTCCCTCTTCCCCCTGGCTTCCCTCTGTCTGTTAGAATCACGTCTCACGGACAGACCATGCTTCCGGTAGAAGGGGACCTTGCTGTCCATGCCAGCGGCCGTTGGGGGTAGGGTCCCCAGCGTGGCAGCCGCTCCTCCTTTTCCCTGTGCACCCCGCCCCCTGTCCCCTAGGATTCCCACTTCCCCCACGACCTATGCTCCCGCTGACTCAGTCTCTTGATTTCTCGTTAGCAGGAACGAGTCCATTTTTAGGAGTGATGAATGGATGGAAAAATGTCGCCAATCACCCATGTCAGATGTCGCCAAAGCTTAATTAGGACCAGACAGTTGCAGCTGAGAGACTGCGGGGCGATGCAGGAAGACTGCTCGGGCGTGAGTGCGGACTCAGGGTCTCGGGCAGGCTCCGCCTCGCCTCTGCGCCAGGAGGCTGCTCTACGGCGGAGGGGAGGCGAGGGGCAGGAGCTGCAGTGTCTGCCTTGTGGAAGTTAGAATTAAAGATTTAAAAAATGCATTGCTTCTCGGCCTTTTGGCTAAGGTCGACTGTAGTATCTGTTCTCACCGGTTTACTATCTGATACGTCCTCTGTCCAAGGATGTTATATTCGACAGACTTCTGGAGCTGCGGGATGGAACAGGAGCTTGCTCCGTCCAGTCGCACATCGACCCGGTCTCGCGGTACTTCTGGGAATGTGCACAAAAAAACCCCCAAACCAACCAACAAACAAACAAACAAAAAGAATTAAACATGTGTGCATGAAAAGAAATCAGGGAAGACATAAAAATTGTCTCTCACTCCTGCCCCCATCACCCACCCAGACGCCGACACACCGGTGCCCGCATCTCACGGCGGCCTCCCTGCGCCCCCGCCTGTCTGTGCCGTCTCTCTCACTGTGTGGAGGGTGCTGCATTCGGTATCTGGCTGCCCAGGCCTTGCCTCCTCTCTGTGAACGGCGACTGTGAGTGTGTCCGCTAGGGTCAGGAAGGGGGGTAGGCTAGGGCTTTGGGGGAGAGTTTGCTGGGGCGTTCGTCGAGGCCGGGCATGAGGATGGCGGCTGTTGGGAAGCTGGGGGTGAGGGCCACTGTGGGGGAGCAGAGAAGGGGAACTATGGGCAGAGAACGGGGGGCAGGGGGCTGAGTGCTGGTTCGGCTTGTGAGTCGGCTCCCTTCCATGTTCCAGGAGAGATGCTGCTAAAGACGGGAATCGCTCTGAATTATGGGAATCGCTCTGAATTATCTGTGATCTCCTGGAAGCTCTGAATTATCTGTGATCTCCTGGACGCACTTCCCAAACTGGGACATCAGAGGGACCCCGGACCCGGACCCGGGGTGCCTGGTTTGCATTTGGGTTGTATGCGTTTGTTAGTTCAACAAGTTAACGCCTGCAGTGGTGTGAATGATAAAATGCTAAGCGTTTGTTATTGCTAAGGCTACAGTACAAACAATAACTCCCAATTTAAACTGAGGCCAGCTAGGCTAGTTGAAAATATCTTCAAGCTAAATTGTCAAATTAATCATGCTGTTCTTTTTTGGTAATTGTTTTTTAAAAAGATTTATTTATTATTATTTTTTTTTTTAGAGAGAAAGGAGGGAGGAAGAGAGGGAGAGAAAATTTACGTGCGAGAGAAACGTTGAACCTTGGCCTCCTGTGCACCCATAACCGGGGACCTGGCCCCCAACCCAGGCATGAGTCCTGACCAGGAATCGAACCGGTGACCTTTCGGTTTGTGGGATGATGCCCAGTCCACTGAGTCACACTGGTCAGGGTCAGTCTTGTTATTCTTATGTTTAAGACTTTTCGGTGGCGTTTCCTTGCACTGGGAGTGAGATCCCGGTTCCCAACCGGCTCCAGGATAAGCTCCCGCCCACCCACCCCTGGGCTGTCTCAGGCCCGCTCACGCACTGTGCCCTGGCCACGCCGGCCTTCTCTTTCCGGAGTCCCGAGCGCCCGGCTGTCCCCGGGCCCCGTGCAAACTGTCGGCTTCTCCCTATCCACCTTTCCCTGCCTTCTGCGTGGTGGGCTCCCCTCAGCCTTCGAGTCCTGGCTAAACTCTCACCTCCTCAGAGGTCTCCTCTGAGCTAAAGTAGGCTCACCTCTCACCCCGTTATCACCTCTCACAGCGCAGCAGTTTGAACGGTGGTCCCCAAAAGATATGTCCTGAAACTCGGGAGCATGACCTTATTTTGAAAAGGGGTCTTTGCAGAGTCAAGTTAAGCTCTCCAAATGGGGTCCTCCTGGGTTATCTGGCTGGACCCCAAGTCCAGTGACCAATGTCTGTGTAAGAAACAGAGCGGAAACACATGGGGAGAAGGCCCCCTGAAGGCGGAGGCAGCCACCAGCCCAGGAACGCCTGGGGCCATGGAAGTTGTGGGGGACAAGGAAGGGCTTTCCCCTGGAGCCTCGGGAGGAGCGAGGCTCTGCCCACTCCCTGATATTGAACTTCAGCCTCCAGAACTGGGAGAGAGTAAATCTCTTGTTTGAGCCACCCGACTCGTTACAGCAGCTGCTGGAAACTCATACACACAGCACCCTGTCTGTTCTCTCCCTGTCGGTCATGATGGCTTACTCCCCTATCACGGAGGGGGTGGCCTGTTTATTCCTGACTCCTGACCCCCCACACTGCACGAACGGCCAGGTTCGGGTCCGCGCTGCTCTCCAGTGTACCCACAGTACCCCGCACAGCGTCTGACGCAGCAGATGCTGAGCAGACGGCGAACGGATTGAAACGAACCGCGCGTTTCCTTAATTAGAATCACTGACGGAGGCTCCGCTGCCGGAGAGCCTCTGGCTCAAGGTGGGGCAGAGCATGCTTCTTGGGTAGGTGCTTGACGTCACCTGAAGACGTCAGGTGACAGGGCTGCCGCTCTTTCTCAGGGGCGCAACCACCCCTCTGAAGCGGAGCCCACACTATCCGTGCTTCTTGCGAGTCCTTTCTTTATGGAAAGGGAGACATTTGGCTTCCCACAGGTCCTTGTCCCAACGCCCCCCGACACCAGTGTGAGCCGGGCCCTTCGGCTTGGAGAGGGCGTGCACCAGGCCGGGCCCAGCAGGTCTTGGTGCCAAAGAAAACACATTCTTTGAAGAGAAGGGTAATTGCCGAAGGCCTTGTCCCATGTCAGCGCGGAGGAGACGGACCATTGGAACTGGTTTCGTACTCACGATAATGTATGGTTCGGGACTCAGTGAAAGGGTATAATTCTACTGAGGGATTCCACTGAGCTCATAACCCATGGAGCGCGGCTTGTCAGCAGAATGCAGAGATCGGGTTACCGCGGGGCTCATCCTGGGCCCACTCTGGGCTGTCTGTCACTCCGGGAAGGGTTCACCACGGGGCTCCTCGGATTGCGTACCTGGAGACGCCGGAACACTGTGGTCAAACTGTATGAGTGTGTCTGTGGTCCCCTGTAAACCAAGGGTCACAGAGGAACAAACGGTTTCGCTGCGTGGCATTAGTGACATTTATATAGCAAATACTTTGTCTCAAAGGATGCCATAAATAAGCAAGTGGGTGAAACTGCCTTTACCTTTGCTCGGGAATCCTGGCCGCAGGTGTAGAAAGTGGCGTGGTGAGAGACAGCGGGGAGGAGTGCAGACTGTGGTCACCTGGGAAGCGAATGTCTTGCTTCAACCTGGCGTTTGCCAAACAAAAACCTTTCTGCAGGCCAGTGTGAGATTTTGGTTTACATGCTTATCTTTCCACTCAATAAGGGGTTCAAAACCTGCAGCCCTGGGGCCAGATCTGGCCCTCCACCTGTTCTTGTAAATAAAGTTTTATTGGCACACAGCCACAAGCATTTGTTTATGTTCTTTCTGTGGCTGCTTGGGAGCCACAAAGGCGGAGGGGTTGTGCAGGAACAAACGTCCTTTCAAGCCTAAACTAGTTATCATCTCGCCTCCTACAGAACAGGTTCGCCAACTTTTGCCTTGGACCATGAGCATCTAGAAGGCAACTTGGCATGCATTTTAAACTTAGTAATTATTTGCTCCGAGGAAGAGATTTTATATTGTCCATGGTGGGTACTGTGGGTTGTTTACCCAATGGCCATTCCCCTTCTTTCTTTTTTTTTAATCCTCATCCAAGGATACGTTTATTGATTTTAGAGAGAGAGGAAGGGAGAAAGAGAGAGGGAGAGAAACATCCATGTGAGAGAGATATCTATCAGTTGCCTCCCATATGCAGCTTGACTGGGGATCGAACCTACGACCTCTCAGTGTATGGGATGATTCTCTAACCAACCGAGCCACCTGGCTAGGGCTCCTCTTCTTTCTTGCTAATAGGGGCAGCTATGGGCTTCAGAGGGAGGAGATGGGCTCCTTCCTCGACGGTGTATTTTGATCAGATCCAGCCATCCTCGGCTGTTCCCCTGCACCTACTAGTTCTGTGCCCGAGGCACAGGTGTGATGGGGTTATGGCCAGTGACGGGTAGGGGTGTGCACACTTCCTGAGGACGAAGGCTTCTGGGGATTCTGAGAAGGGGAGGTGGCGGGATGGGCTCCTACTCTGAAAAAGGGACCCGAGGAGCGCTGTCCTTGCTGCTTTCGCCTCTGCACGCCGTTGAGGAAGGACGTGGCACAGCAGCTGCAGCATCCCGGGACCAGCCCGAGGCCAAAGTCGGAAAGGAGGATCTCAGGGGAAAAGGGAGAGCCCGGGTTGTAGTCACGTGACGAAAACCGAGTTAGCCGAGCCGGGAGCCTCCTTCTTTGGGTTTCGGTGCTTATTCGCTTATTATTCCTTGTTGCTTATTCACTTTGAAGTGGGTTGGTTAGGAAGCTTGCCCCCTAAAACCATGAAAAAGCTTATGTTGTTGCACCGGCCTCCTCTTTCTTTGAGGGTTTCTAACTCTCATGCCCGTTTACTAGGAAGGTCTTCACAGGCTTTATGAAAAAAATGTTCTTTGATATTGCTTTATTTTTACATTTAGTATGTTGCTCTTTGGGGAATGGTTTTATATGGTAAGAGGTAAAGCTTTACTTTTGTTTTTCTTGTAGATGGAAAAATAATTTTTGAGTGCATGGTGGTGAATAAAATCCCATGTAGTTATAGGATTTTCATAAAGATAAATGTTCTTTTCTACACTGGAAACTAAAGACAAGATCAATTTTTTGTAGGTACCTTTCAAGGAAATGGTTAACCTACCTGATTTTTCAGTGTGAAGCAAGCAGAGTGTTTTGTAATTCCCAGACAAGGAACTTAAAGCAACAGGAGTTACCAATTTTTAGACAAACCGTATCATGTAAAGGAAATACTAGTCTGTTGAACACATCTGGTCTGGTCCCCCCTGGAAAACCCAGAGGCTGGGTTATTCCCTGGTGTTGATTAGGAGTGTTGAACGGAAGACGAGTAAACATTTATCAGCATCTTGCACAGACTTGAAGGAAAGCAGTTTGATTTTGAACCACAGAATCTGCTTCCAAGGGGGGGCCGAAGTTTCTTGTTGAATCTAAAGTGAGCATGCAAACAAAAAACCCTTGGCCTGAGCTTTGTTCATTGAGAGATGTCACCCGCAGATCACTGACTAGGAGAAGACATTCACGATACACACGACAAAGGGGTAACACCAAGAATATAGAAAGAACACCTAGGAATCGGTAAGAAAAGAAAAAAGAAAACTGGGCAAAGCCACGAACAGATATCACTCAGCAGAGACAGGCCCCTCTGTGAGTTCTGGTGCATCTCAAGAGGGTTGGGGACTTTTAGGCCA